CAGTCGACCAGTGGCACCTGGGTCTGCCCCGTGACCTCCTGCCAGCGGGCTTTCGACACTTCACGTGGCCTCAAGGTGCACTTGGCCTGGCACAAGCATCGTGGTGACGTCACCGCCACTTAGTGGCGAATGGCGGTTGTTGTTGTTGTTGTTGAATGTGTGTGAGAGTATGTGTGTGAGTCGCAGGGCGCGTCCAACACTGCGAGTCGTGTGTACGAAGACAAAGATCCCCCGTATAGCCTCAACAGACTATAGGGCCAAGTGCTGTCAGCGAGTAGCAGCAACCCTATGAAGGTCGGCACTTTGGCACACGATGGGGCTGGGTGGCTTGCAGAGAGAGACACACGCACATACGCGCACGCGTGTACACACACGTGGGGAGCGGTGGCGCAGCGGTTAGGGGCCGTCCATAAATGACGTCACGCAATTTTGGACGATCTTTGACCCCCCCCCCTTCGTCACACGGCATCACAAAAAGTCAGACCCCCCCCCTCAAATATGACGTCACAAAGCTCTGCCCCCCCCCAAAATAAATTTAAAAAATGCTTCAAATCGCTTTGAAGCATGTTTTATTTAATGCGGCGCTGCACTCTGATGTTGTGGTAGAAAACATTTATTAAAAACTATATTTAATTAAGTAGAACGTGTTGTCTATATCTATTTAAAGTTGCGCATTTTGATGTGACGTCACATTTCTCAAACCCCCTTCCCCCCTCATCACACATCGTCACAAATGTCTGACCCCCCCCCCCCCCTAGGTGCGTGACGTCATTTATGGACGGCCTCTTAGCGCGTTGCCCTAAGAACCCGGCGACCCGGGTTCGATTCCCGCTCACGGCCACCAACACCACCAGAGACGATTATTTGAGCCGGTCCTGGGCCTCCCCTAGGTCGGCTCGGCCTCAAATGAGCATCTGGTGCGGTTTGTAGTAAACGTTGCCACTGGGGGGACAAAGGCGGCCGGGCGTGGTGTTGGCCACTCACCTCCTCGTGTGTCGTTCCGGCCTTCATTAGTGCTGCTACTCGCTAACAGCACTTGCCCCTACAGTCTGTTACAGGTTACACGGGGGGTCTTTGTTTTTCTCGCGGGTGTGTGTGTCTTGTGTGTGTGTCATGTGTGTGTGTGTCGTGTGTGTGTCTGTGTGTGTGAGTCTGTGTCTCCGTGCGTGAGTCTGTGTCTCCGTGTGTGAGTCTGTGTCTCTGTGTGTGTCTCTGTGTGTGTGTCTCTGTGTGTGAGTCTGTGTCTCTGTGTGTGTGTCTGTGTGTGTCTCTGTGTGCGAGTCTGTGTCTCTGTGTGCGAGTCTGTGTCTCTGTGTGCGAGTCTGTGTCTCTGTGTGTGAGTCTGTGTCTCTGTGTGTGTGTCTGTGTCTCTGTGTGTGAGTCTGTGTGTGTCTCTGTGTGCGAGTCTGTGTCTCTGTGTGCGAGTCTGTGACTCTGTGTGTGTCTGTGTCTCTGTGTGTGAGTCTGTGTCTCTGTGTGTGTGTCTGTGTCTCTGTGTGTGAGTCTGTGTCTCTGTGTGCGAGTCTGTGTCTCTGAGCCGGCCTTCATAGCTGCTCGCTTACAGCACTTGCCCCAACAGTCCGTTGAGGCTACACGGGGGGGGGGATCTTTGTCTTTGGAGTGCGTGAAGATTGACGGCGCGTATGAAGCTGTGTAATGGATGGGGTTGTGGGCGCTGGTGATTCATACCACCCACCCACTCATCCCCCCCACCCACCCACCCCCTCATCCCCCCCACCCACCCCCTCATCCCCCCACCCACCCCCTCACCCCCCCACCCACCCCCTCATCCCCCCCCTCCTTGATCTGCAGGCACCTCTCCAGATTTTCAACATGCGCGCGCCTCCCAAATCCGTATTGCTCATCCCACTCACCAGCCTCTCTACAGCCTCATCGGGCGAATTGCCCGATGATGCTGGATGCAATTACCAGCGAAACGTCGTACTACTCAGAAATTGTAAATGTCGTGGCTTCACGCTTCAACACACCGGTGGGCTAAAGCAGTGAACTATTTGTCTTTTGTCAACGGGACACTTTTTTGCTGATTGGCCGTGTCGGGTGGTGGAGGGTTACGACACATTTATAACTAACGCGATCTAAACCCAAAAACGATGATTATGAATATTGGTCGCGAAAGCCTGTCACGGGTTAAACTGAATAATTGTGTCTATTTGTTTGCGTTTCTCTCTTGTGATGGGACTTTGCAGGATGAACGTTGAGATGTATAAGGGGCACGGGGTGACCACTGAGGTCTGACTTGGTCTGTGATAAGGTCGGGCACCGATCAGCCTTTGGCAGCGATGTGAATATCGGTGCTATTTCAATTACTGACTTAGGGCATTTTCTCTTACATCTTCATAACACTGGTCAACAAAAAATAACATTTTTTTCTGGCCTGGACTTTTGCAGCTGTTTTAGACTAATTTCAGGGTGCTGATTCCAAATCTGATCTCAGATTTGCTCTATCACATTCCATTTTATGCTATCGGCATACCCTTTTTTCATTGATTTTACCCGAAATTAACTCTGTCACTTATTATTGCAAGTTGTTGCGAGCCAGTGACTGCTTTAGTGTTAAAATATGGTGCTGTATTTTTAGGATAGTGTGTTCATAATATCAGTTTATATAGACATCCACATTTATTTAATATTTCTCTTCTGCAGTTTTTATTGAAAATTTAATATTTAATATCTCAAAAACCTGACGTGATGGACAAAATCTGATGCCGGATTTGGAATCAACACCCAAAAATTACCTTAACACCGTTGGAATACCTTATGCCGGAAAAAGTGTGTTGACCAGTGTAATAAATGGCGGAGGATTGTTTTTGTTCGGGGGGGTGGTGGTGGTGGTGTGTGTGAAACCACTGAGTACCCACCACCACCACCCGACACGACGGCTAGCCAAGTTCACATCGGCGGTGTCACTAACAACGCCGCTTCCGTTCCTTGTGGCCGTCCGTCCACCGCAGGGCGAATCGTTGCGCCCACCGCTCCCCCTTGAGATCCTTTTCGCCTTTCTTTCTTTTCTTTGCTATAAATAAAGTCCACGCGCACTCCCACCCCAGCCGTGAGTTAGACGCGCCCTGTGGGTGAGCGGGAGGGGTGAGGTGGGTGGGTGGTGTTTGTGGCAGGGCGGTGTCTGTCTCGGGGCGAGTCGGCCTGGGTGTGCCGCGTGGATGACGACTCAAGGAAAATTTGGGTTCCTCGTCGAGGCAGATTCATCCGATGATCTGACCTCAATGAATCACGAGCGCGTTCGTCGCCTTCGCATTCCCATGACGTCTCTTCGCTCTTGCTGCTGCTGCTGCTGTTGTTGATGATGATGCTGTTGTTGTTGTTGATTATGCTGATGATGCCTCGTACGCAAAGGCGCTGGGCGATAGCAAACGAAAGTTTCGCCGCGGTTCGATTTCCCGGGGCGGCAGCAATTCTCAATCTTGGAAGGTCGTTCCTGAAAATGAAAATTTTAAAAATCGACTTTACCTGTGCTTGCCGACGTCCTGAACCGGTAACCAGATTCCTAAAGCGGTTATGGTTTTTTTTTCTTCGCCCATGTCAATCAACCCTATTCGAAACCGGTGGGGTTACCTATTGATGTGTCCGTAATTATCAATGAAGCTCAACCCCATGAAACCCCTACAACCCCAACAAATAACAACACTTTACCCCGATACACAGAGACTCGCACAGAGACTCACACACTCACACAGTCACATAGACTCACATAGACTCACAAACTAACACATAGACCCCATTCACTCACATAGATATGCATAGACATATGCAGACACCAGTACACTCACACAGAGACCCATAACGAGGAGGCCCATATACTCACACAGAGACCCATAGACTCACACAGAGTGACAGACACACAGAGAGAGATAGACTCACGCAAAAACACATAGATTAATAAAGAGAGACATAGACTCACACAAGGACCCATAGACTCACACGGAGAGAACCCATGTACTCACACAGAGACTCACAGACTCACACAGAGACTCACAGAGTCATACAGTCACATAGACTCACATCGAGACCCACAGACTAACACAGAGACTCACACAGTCACATAGACTCACACTGAGACTCACAGACTAACAAAGACCCCATAAACTCATGTAGAGATGCATAGATTTATGCAGACACCCATACACTCACACAGAGACCCATAACGAGGAGATCCATATACTCACACAGAGACACATAGACTCACACAGAGTGACAGACACACAGAGAGACATAGACTCACGAAAAAACACATAGATTAATACAGAGAGACATAGACTCACACAGGGACCCATAGACTCACACGGAGACTCACAGAGTCACACAGTCACATAGACTCACATCGAGACCCACAGACTCACACAGAGACTCACACAGTCACATAGATTCACATTGAGACTCACAGACTATCACAGAGACCCCATAAACTCATACAGATATGCATAGATTTATGCAGACACCCGTACACTCACACAGAGACCCATAACGAGGAGACCCATAGACTCACACAGAGTGACAGACACACAGAGAGACATAGACTCACGCAAAAACACATAGATTAATACAGAGAGAGATAGACTCACACAGAGTGACAGACACACAGAGAGACATAGACTCACGCAAAAACACATAGATTAATACAGAGAAACATAGACTCACACAGAGTGACAGACACACAGAGAGACATAGACTCACGCAAAAACACATAGATTAATACAGAGAGACTTAGACTCACACAGAGACCAATAGGCGGGAGGGAAAACGGCAACTGCAGGAGCGGAGGTTGGGGGGGGGGGTCTGGGAAGCTTGAAGAACAAGATGCGTTAAGAGAAGCAACAACATAACACAGTTATGGCTTTACCTGGTTAATAACATCCTTCCAATGACTGCTCACTCACTCTCTCGTGATGGCGTGGCCTCGTCATCCACAGATGGGGTGTGTGGGGGGAGGGGTGGGGGTGCAAGATACCTGAGCCACACCTGAAGAGGCCACACCTGAGTCTGACCGCAGAGAGAGAGGAGGAGGAACACACAAACACCACTGCGGGCAGACTCAAGTGGGATTATCGGTCGCGTTTTCTCGCCTTTGTCTCGCGCAAGGGGACACGCGGACACACGTTGAGACACAGTCACACGGAGACACGGTCAGAGACACACACGCAGACGGACACACACAGACGGGGACACACACAGAGACACGTAGACGCACACACACACACACACGGTCTCACATACAGAGACACGATCTAACACACACACAGACGGACACACACACAGAGACACGTAGACGGACACACACACAGAGACACGGTCTCACACACAGAGACACGGTCTCACACACAGAGACACGTAGACGCACACACACACAGAGACGAACGCGAGGCTTCCTACGCAACGCCACCTCGTCCGTGAGACTCCACCATGGCTGCTGCTGCTGGTGGTGGTGGTGTTCGTGGTAGTTCTCGAGGATGGAGCTACGGCACCGTCATCATGTGCGCCTCTGTCTGGGTGGCGTTGGTGTTCGCGTCCTGCGCGGCAGATGCGGTGCAGGTGGGTGGTGGTGGTGGGCGGTGGTTAGTGGTGGTGGTGGTTGTGGTTGTGATGAGCATAGTGTGATGGTGGTGGTGATGGTGTGGTAGTGATGATGATTGTAATGATAATAATGTGGTGGTTATGACAGTGTACGCATGTTGAACTATAGTAGATGATGATGATGATGATCGTGGTGATGTGGTGGTGGTAGTGATGATGATGGTGGTGGTAGTGATGATCATGATGATAATTCTAATAATGTGGTGGTTATTATATTGCATGTATGTTGAACTATAGTAGATGATGATCGTGGTGATGTGTTGGTCGTGTTGATGATGGTGGTAGTGATGATGATGGTGGTGGTAGTGATGATGATGATGGTAATGATAATGATGTGGTGGTTATGATAGTGTATGTATGTTGAACTATAGTAGATGATGATGATGGTGTAGTTGGTGGTGATGATGGTGTTAGTGATGATGGCGGTGGTAGTGATGATGATGGTGGTAGTGATGTTGATGGTGGTAATGATAATAATGTGGTGGTTATGATAGTGTATGTTGATGATGATGATGGTGTAGTTGGTGGTGATGATGATGGTGGATGTGATGATGTTGTGGCGATGACGAGGCCTACTGTAGATGATGATGATGACCCGGGCGATGTTGACTGCTCTAAGCGTGGTGGTGATTGTGGCCAGGGCCCTATCACCAAATAGGTCACAGGAGCATAGGCACCGTGCCTCGGGCCTACGAATGAATGCATCACCCGACATTCAGTCATTCTGTCGCAACGTTGAATGCGTTATCGATGATAACGAACGGGAGACACTTTTAAAGCTTCGTCATCCGATATGATGATCATTGTAACCAAAAAAAAAATATTTTCTTGTTGTTGTTTTCGTTTATCGGCTCTCAATACATCTCGAAATGAAATCCGCTTTGTACACGGCACAGAGCAATGGTGACAAGGGGCAGTGGTGGTTACAAGGGGCAGTGGTGGTGACAAGGGGCAGTGGTGGTGACATGGGGCAGTGGTGGTCACGTGGGGCAGTGGAGGTGACATGGGGCAGTGGAGGTGACATGGGCAGTGGAGGTGACATGGGGCAGTGGAGGTGACATGGGGCAGTGGTGGTGACATGGGGCAGTGGAGGTGACATGGGGCAGTGGAGGTGACATGGGGCAGTGGTGGTGACATGGGCAGTTGAGGTCACGTGGGGCAGTGGAGGTGACATGGGGCAGTGGAGGTGACATGGGGCAGTGGAGGTGACATGGGCAGTGGAGGTGACATGGGGCAGTGGAGGTGACATGGGCAGTGGAGGTCACGTGGGGCAGTGGAGGTGACATGGGGCAGTGGAGGTGACATGGGGCAGTGGAGGTGACATGGGGCAGTGGAGGTGACATGGGCAGTGGAGGTGGCATGGGCAGTGCAGGTGACATGGGCAGTGGAGGTGACATGGGCAGTGGAGGTGACATGGGCAGTGGAGGTCACGTGGGGCAGTGGAGGTGACTGACATGGGCAGTGGAGGTGACATGGGGCAGTGGAGGTGACATGGGCAGTGGAGGTCACGTGGGGCAGTGGAGGTGACATGGGGCAGTAGAGGTGACGTGGGGCAGTGGAGGTGACATGGGGCAGTGGAGGTGACATGGGGCAGTGGAGGTGACATGGGGCAGTGGTGGTCACGTGGGGCAGTGGAGGTGACATGGGGCAGTGGAGGTGACATGGGGCAGTGGAGGTGACATGGGCAGTGGTGGTGACATGGGGCAGTGGAGGTGACATGGGGCAGTGGAGGTGACATGGGGCAGTGGAGGTGACATGGGCAGTGGAGGTCACGTGGGGCAGTGGAGGTGACATGGGGCAGTGGAGGTGACGTGGGGCAGTGGAGGTGACATGGGGCAGTGGAGGTGACATGGGGCAGTGGAGGTGACATGGGGCAGTGGAGGTGACATGGGGCAGTGGAGGTGACATGGGGCAGTGGAGGTGACATGGGCAGTGGAGGTGACATGGGGCAGTGGAGGTGACATGGGGCAGTGGTGGTGACATGGGGCAGTGGAGGTGACATGGGGCAGTGGAGGTGACATGGGGCAGTGGTGGTGACATGGGCAGTGGAGGTCACGTGGGGCAGTGGAGGTGACATGGGGCAGTGGAGGTGACATGGGGCAGTGGAGGTGACATGGGCAGTGGAGGTGACATGGGGCAGTGGAGGTGACATGGGCAGTGGAGGTCACGTGGGGCAGTGGAGGTGACATGGGGCAGTGGAGGTGACATGGGGCAGTGGAGGTGACATGGGGCAGTGGAGGTGACATGGGCAGTGGAGGTGACATGGGCAGTGCAGGTGACATGGGCAGTGGAGGTGACATGGGCAGTGGAGGTGACATGGGCAGTGGAGGTCACGTGGGGCAGTGGAGGTCACGTGGGGCAGTGGAGGTGACATGGGGCAGTGGAGGTGACATGGGCAGTGGAGGTGACATGGGGCAGTGGAGGTGACATGGGCAGTGGAGGTCACGTGGGGCAGTGGAGGTGACATGGGGCAGTGGAGGTGACGTGGGGCAGTGGAGGTGACATGGGGCAGTGGAGGTGACATGGGGCAGTGAAGGTGACATGGGGCAGTGGTGGTCACGTGGGGCAGTGGAGGTGACATGGGGCAGTGGAGGTGACGTGGGGCAGTGGAGGTGACATGGGGCAGTGGAGGTGACATGGGGCAGTGGAGGTGACATGGGGCAGTGGAGGTGACATGGGGCAAAACAACCCCCTACCTCCTCGCGGTGCCGGACGGGCAACACTGTCGTGGACAATTTTATGTGGGGAGGTCCAATGCCCATTGGCCTCTCCCCTCATGGCGTCTGTGACCACCACAGTGGCTAAACGGGGGCTCTGGACGGGTACGAGGGGCTGGTAACCCCTACACCCTCAATTAATTACCACTAAACTACGATATAAACACACAGTACAGACACATAGACAGACACACACACAGTACACACACACACAGTACACACAGACACAGTACACAAAGGCACACACACAGTACACACACACACAGTACACACACAATGCTATTGAATAACGCGTGCATATTCAAGCGCAGTGCTCGCTGCTATCTGGTCGACCCCACTTGCCATGACGCAGCCCATGAATAATGGAACGCCCCTCGCTTGCGTGCGTGATGTGTGTGTGTCGGCTTGTCCCATGCGTGTGTCCCTAATGCCCCGCGATCTTGCGCCAGCCAAGCCGTGGTTACGTCAGCCTTTGTCCGTGTGTGTTATCAGTTTCTCGTTATGCAATCGAAGCAATTACCTGATTTTGCAAATTAAGCGGTAATGCGTGTTGGACTTCTTTCGCACCGTACGTGCGATTCGGAGGTGCGCTGGGAGAGAAGGACAACAATCTAAACACCAAAAGGATTTGTGAAGAAATTCGTTTTCAATCTCGATTCAAAAGTGGCGGTGCTCCCAGTGGCTTGCGAATATCGGGAGGGAAGAGCGTTCCAGATGGCCGCGCGAGCGATGCGGTGACTGTCTTTGTTCGACGGTCAGCCAAAATCTTTAGCCACCCAGCACCCATATTATTGGTTCTTTCGGTAAAGTCACGTAGGTATGATAAAATGAATCGTAATATTTCGATTGCAACACAAACAATCATCATCAGGTGGGAAAACCACAGCAATATTTTTTTTGCTGAAGTGGGAGAGAAATGCCGTGGTAAGAGATTACATAGATAAGAAATGGGGAGGGGCAACGGGGGGGAGAGGGGGGGTAGGGGGAGGGGGGCGCTGCGTGGACGCTGATGATGATTGCTTGTGTTGCAATCAAAACGTCGTCATTTATTTTATTTTCTACCTACGCGACTTTACCGAAAGAACCAGAGTATGGATTCCTGCAGTCACGAAAGCTTCAAATCTAAACAGTGGTAATTGTTGAGAGTGGAGTAGCTCCCAGTGCCTTCCGAATATCGGGAGGGAAGAGCGTTCCAGACGGCCGCGCGAGCGATGCGGTGACCGTGTTTGTTCGACGGTCAGCCAAAATCTTTAGCCACCCAGCACCCATATTATTGGCTCTTTCTGTAAAGTCACGTAGAAGGGAAATAATAAAATAATAAAAAATAAAACAATACAATTCTCACGACGTTTCGATTGCAACACAAGCAATCATCATCAGGTGTGAGAATGAAAATGTAAATTTTTATAATTTTATTATTTCCCTTCTACGCGACTTTACCGAAAGAACCACGAATATGAATCCCTGCAGTCACGAAAGCTTTAAATCGAAATCCACCCCGGCATCTATTCGGCGTCTTTGTGAGCCTCTTCATTCAGTTGGCTTCGTCGTTTGTCGGGCTCATCAGCGTCGCGTGCAGATGCGGCGGCCTCCACTGCATTGGTTGAAACCGGTAAACGCCTCGGCGGTTGATTTGCCCCAACGCCTCCGGTGGGTTTGCCGCACAGACATGTCCAAACCGGTGTTTCTGTCACTTCAAAATCAGCGACCACAGCCCCAGTCATGAATCACATGTCACGCAGAGACACTCACACACTCACGCAGTCACGCAGACACACAGTCACTCAGTCACTCAGTCACACAGTCACACAGTCACTCAGTCACTCAGTCACACAGTCACACAGACACACAGTCACTCAGTCACTCAGTCAATCAGTCACTCAGTCACTCACTCACACAGTCACACAGCCATACAGCCACTCAGTCACACAGTCACACAGCCACACAGACACTCAGTCACATAGTCACTCAGTCACTCAGTCACTCACTCACTCACTCACACAGTCACACAGTCACTCAGTCACACACTCACACACTCAGTCACTCAGTCACACAGTCACACAGTCACTCAGCCACACAGCCACTCAGTCACACAGCCACACAGACACACAGACACTGAGTCACTCAGTCACTCACTCACACAGTCACTCACTCACACAGTCACTCAGTCACTCAGTCACACACTCACACACTCACACAGTCACTCAGTCACACAGTCACTCAGTCACACAGTCACACAGC